TTTGCTCTTTTTGATTTACATCAATGACATAGTTGAAAGAATGGACAATAAATTACTTAAATTTGCAGATGATATTAAAGCCTAGGGTGTTGCTAGCTGTGAATAGTAGGCTGCTGATTTACAAAAGGATTTAGATCATTCAGTGAGTTGGGCAAATAAATGGCAAATGAGTTTTAATTATAATAAATGCAATAAAATGCATGTGGGTTATCATAATTTGAATTACAAGTATAATTTTGATGGCAATAACCTTCAGTGTTATGAAATAAAGGGATCTTGGTGTAATAGTTTATCAGTCTGTTAAGCCATCCAAACAGTGTGTTATTGCCAGAGGTAGGACAAATAAAATTTTAGGTTATATCTACAAATATTTTGAATGTGAGTCTAAAGAGGTTATAATTTCATTGTATGGGTCACTGGTTAGGCCATATTTGGAGTACTGTGTTTAGTCTTGGGCTCCTTACCTTAGGAAGGACTTTGAATTGTTGGAAAGGGTTACTAGAATGGTACCTGGGATGGAGTTGTCATACAAGGAGAGGTTGAAATCTTTCAAATTATTTTATCTTGAAAAAAGAAGTTAGAGAGGAGGATCTGACTGAGGTGTTTAACTTTAAGATTGTAAAGGGAATTGATAGTGTTGATGCATCATCATTTTTCATATTTAGTAGTGAGAATAGTAGGACTAGGGAACACAAGTATAAATTTTGGCAAAGCAGGAGTCATCTTCAGCTAAGACAGTTTTATTTTTCTGACAGGGTAATTGCCCTTTGGAATGGGTTGTCTTCGGATGTTGTGGAGGCAGTAAATTTAAGTGACTTTAATAAAAAGCTTGATAAGTACATGAATGATAAAGGCTGGCTTTAAGATTTTTAAAAATTTACTTATTAATATTTTTAGTTTAGTTTATAGGATTTAACAGCTGAAATGGGCCAATGGGTCCCATATTGTTCCAAAACGTTATATCATCAATATATGTTATACTTAGTGCTGTAGACTGCAGTGTAATTCCAGAAGACTGTTAATGTTATTATATAACAGTAAAAATTTACTTTGTTCGTAATGTAGCTACTAACTCAGCTGTATTGTTACTGCTTTATTATGGCACTGAGACTGAGAGTAAGATCATAGAATAGGGAATATGGTATTGGAAGAACTCTTAACTTCTATTCTAATAATAATATCTAACTTCGTCTTTGTTTTGGTTTGTGGGTCCCTTGAAATTCTATTTCGCTTCGTCAGTCCCCATTTGATCCTATTTCAGATAATCGGTCTGTTTGATAACACACACACACTCTTTATAATATTTATACGTTAATTCAATAATTATCGATGTTGTGTTTGTTTCTGCATGCAACATGCACGGTCCGACGTTAATTTTTCAGGATCGATAGAATTTCAAGGGTCCAACAAACCAAAACAAAGCCCTAACTTCTAATACTAAGAGTAGTCTGGTCCTAATAGTAATACTGAGTAATAGTAATAATAATATAAAATTAGGTTGGGTAGGCTATATTAGTCACCATATTACAGTTTTGTGTCTTTTAAGAAATTTTTTTGAACGACAAAGAAAGTTTGGCAACCATAACAGATAACGTTTAAACTCACCAGTTACGTTAAAGCTTTCTGGGTTATGATAACCCAAAGCAGTAAGTTTTCTTTTGAACATTCTTGCTTTCCGACATCAGTCAATTAACTGTGGCTTGAGAAAGAACTCTGCGCCACGTAGTGGTTAGGTTTTGTATATTGTTATACTTATTTATTTATTAACGATAAAGAAGAATTAGCTATGGATTATAAACAATAAGATAACCTTTGATTGTTTTGTTTGTTGATAAACACAAAACAACAGAGTGGGCTATTAGTGTTCTGTCCACCATTCTATAAGCCTTCAGAATTGCCGCTGAGCCATTGGGGGCAATAACTTTTGAAAGTCGAGATTATATTGATATCTAGTAATGTACAGTACGTACAATTATCTGGCAAGAAATGTTTGTTTGTTTGTAATTAAGCACAAAGCTACAAGAAATAGCTATAATGAAAGGTACTGAAATAAATTAGAGTCATGTTTATGATTTCAGAGAAGTACTAGGAAGCAAATAAATGAATTGGTATTTGATGTCTTTGGCAAAAAAAACAAACTTTTTTTTAATTACCATAAAACTGAACGAAAGGCAAGTCAGCGTTACGACAGTGGGGGTCACGTGACCAGTATTCTAGAAGATTCGCTAGTGTGTTGCGACAGCGGGAGTTAAGTGACGCTGGTAGCACGTGTTGAGAGTCTTAGAAGTTTCTGGAACAGGCAGTATTATCGTATACAAGTACGCTAGACAGAGAGACGTAGCAGAGACGAAGCAGGCAGAGAGAAAGAAAAACAGCGATTACGGTCGGCGGGAACTGAGGATAGCAGACACAGAGATCGGACCTA